CTTGGTTATGTCTTCATAAAAGTGTACAAGGAATGTCCATCAGCTGTATATTCATATCATGTGGAAACAGTACAAGTGCACTATTTCTGCATGGTGGTTATGTCTGGATAGGAGAACCTTTTCTTAATTTGTAGAACATCTGCAAAGCTTCCTCCCTGTCATTCCTTTGGTATGCAGCTCCATTAATCTGCTGGCTAAAGCCTAATCCCTCACCACAGATCTTCCATATTGCTGCAGAGAACATACTGTTCTGCAACATGCAAAGGATACAGTGGCACCTACGTGACTCTACTAGAATCTTACTCTACGTTTATGCTTCCTTTTTCAGTAACAAATAATTTCCTCCATTACAAATCCCACTTACCATGTCCGAGTATTAACTTCATATCGGTAAAGGTCATCCACCAATCCATACTTATTGCCAGGTAACGCTTTGTATCCACCATGGACATAAACAGATTTGGTCAGTTCATCATAGACGCTAGTATGGCCATATCCACCTTGCACAATTGCTCCTTTTGTTTCTGGTACAAGCCAAGAATTAGACCCTGGAATAGAGGTACAAAAGACAGATTTAAGACTTACTATTGCTAACACATAATACTAGCAGTTTTAAGTTTATAAAATAATTTTCACTATAATTCTAAATGCAGCAATAACTAGGGATGTGTTTTAAGAAGTAATTTTACAGCAACATCTCAAAATATCTGCAGTTGGATGATGTTATTAGACTGTTATCTGCTATTCTTAATTAAATCACAAATGCATCTTTGTTACAGGTGCCAAGTAGTATCTCATACTCTCCCATGTGTGAATTCAGCGCACACACAAAAAAAACCCCAAAACAAAAAAAGCCCAAACCTTTTGGAAAATATTAAATTAAGAGTTGTAATTAATTTTCTCTCAATCTTAAGTTTGTCCTACCAGAGATGGCTGAAGAGAATTCAGTACTTCAGCTACATCACCTGCATTAGGAACACCTATACTCAGTCATGGGAGAACCGTCTGGAGAAGCCTGGCAGAAACTGAACTGCTGTGAGTTGTGAGAAGCATGTAACATAAGGTAGCTCGAAGTACACATGGATACAGATAGACACTTTGCTAGTAAAGTGTAAAATTATTCAGCTAAAATCAGTTTCCAACTACTGTTTCTTAGTTATTTAACTGCAAATATACCCACTCAGTTGCTGAAAACTCACAAAAGGATAATTTGATAGCAGCTCATTAAACTGGCACATAAATCCACACTTTACATCACATCATTAATAACTGCAGAGACACCAAATAAAACCATTCAAAATAGCTGTTATGACTAAAGAGTAAAACACAATTGGAAACTGTTTTACCACAGTAATAAAAAAGACAGGGAGGTTAAGTGACTTCTTGTTGCCTGTGGCTCTGAAATTTCTACTTTTTTCCCCTCCATCTTCCCAGTTGATGATGTAAGCCACAAAAAGACCAAGCCAGGAGCTAAGTATTTCCTGGAGAAGCCTGTCTATTCAAAAGAGTCTATGATAATTAGGTAGACAGATCTACAGATGTGAAACGGAAGAAATAATTCACTTACAGCCTCTTGAAGACTATGTCAGAAGAATAGAAAGTGTGGACAAAGACCTCCAAAATGGAGCTGTCTCCTAATTCTTAACCTAAATTGGCTGTCATTATAAAGTTATTTATCCAAGGCTAGCACCCACCACCATACACATTGTTTTATCTGAAAGTTTAAATTCCAGTTCAATTTTTATCTGATACTATGTAGGTAGTTTAAGATTACCTGTTTTTCCTCTGGATTGTTCTGTTCAGTGAAAAGACTCATGACTTTCAGATATTACTGTTGCTATTCTACTTTCAATAAATGGTTTCCAGGCAGTGCCTCTATAAACATGTTAGATTTTTTCAGTAAGGAGTGCTTATAGCAAGTTATAAAGTATAGATTAAACTGGAAGATTTGTGATTATTTTTTTTGTTTATGAATGCTATTTGTGTAATACACTTTCTATCTGACACAGCAGATTTACATTATTTATATGTAGTGTAACATAACTAGTATTTTTTTCCAATCTCTATCTTGGATTTTATCAAGTTATTAGAACTGCAACTCTGAACACAAACATCAAATTTGTACAAATAATACTGTATTTTACATACAAATTACCTTGCTAACAAATAGATTTACTTGATACAATTTATGTTAAGAGGGTTGCTGAGGAGTCAACCAGCAGATAAACTTTTCTATCACCAACACTATCCTCATATTTTTCATTTAAATAGTGAATAGTCCTAAAGATTGGTATACAAGCTTTGCAGGGAAAATTATTTCCCAGATTTAAATTTATAAGTCTAATAGACAGTGTGAAAATAAGATCAAATGAATATTGGGAAAAAAAAAAAATCACAAAAGAAAGTCATTCCAGTAATAGGAGCTTCTACTTTTCATTCGTAATTTGACATTTTTCAATCAACACCTGGGAAATCTTCTGGAGAATTCTACCACAAAGTTTCTCTTGAAATCCTCAGGCAAGTCACTATGATAGCTTCAGATAATTAAATCTGTCAAATATTAAACAGCTGGGCAAGGTTACAGGCTGCAATATTGTGGTCACCTTTGTCAAACAATCACATGCTTCATGTCCAGCTTTACCATGACCACGTCCAGGAGACTGACTGAGTGAAAGAAAAGGAAAAAACCCAAAAACAAACAAACAAACCAACCCACCAAAAACAGAAACTTGTAAACAGAAAAAGAAATTACAGCTGGGAGAGAAGCTAAACTCATTAATTTAATGTACTGAAGCTGGGGGTATGACTCCCTTCCAAAATTCTCACAGACACAGCAAGTGAAACTGCAGGCCTGGGAGCAAGAATTTTAAACAACACTGCTTACATATTACCAAACAGCAACCACGGTGCTGACATTAAAGACCCAAGGGAGGAGAGACAAGATCTGGACAATTACAGACCTTAATCTTGCCTCAGTAATATGCAAAGGTTTTGGGTTTTGTTTTTGGTTTTTTTTAATCATGAGAAACTGTTTTACTGGACAACATAAATGTACCAAATTATTTACATCACATTTACCTAAAAAACAGTTATCTACAGAAGGAAGCATGGGTGTTCTCAGTATCTGGGCTTCCTTACTATTGTGTCACGATGGGAAATTAGTAAATAAGCCATTATCATGGAATGGAACTTGGGCACTGAAGAAGAAGCAGCAACGAAAAATGTTGAGAGGTTCTGGGATTACTAGGGAGACTTCTTAAGGATCTGAATGGCTGCATTATATGACATTGTCTCCATATTTAAGGTGTAATAATTGCATAAATTTAGACACTATCAATTCACAGAAGCAGCAGAGAAATGCGAAGAAAGAACTGGATTATCTTGGCCACAGGAAAAAAATGGGTCAAAATTCAACAATAACTTCAAGATACCCTGCACTGGGATTAGCAACATGAATTTTTATAAAATGGAAGCTCTTCAGTTGATAATGACTGAGAAGAATGAGCAGGAGCACTGCTTCATCACAAAGTCTATAAGCCATAAATACTTCTCTCATGGATGAAGCACAAATGTGATCTTACTACATACCAATTTAGGTGTTCCAAATAAAGGAGGATTAAGGTTACTTTAGCAAGGCACTGGTGAAATCTCACCTAGCATATCCCACAGGCTTTTCTAATCATCCATGTTCAGCAGAGATTAACTCTTTGGAAAAGGGGTACAGAGATGAACTATTAGAATAAGAGCAGAATAGATGAGGTGGCCTTAGTAAGTCTTGTGAAAGGGAGGATTGGTATCAATAAATATAATTCTAAGCGAATTCCAGGAAGGGAGGCGAGTTGCATACATTAAAAAAAATGTGTCATCCAGAAAACAAGTTAATATCAACTGGCCATTGATAAAGGTAGGCTATGAATTAGAAGATTCCTAGTCATAAGGATGGTCAAGAAAATAAATTCCAGCCTTTTACTTACAGGAAGTTCATCATATCCAAAGATGTAACACCATTACATCTTCAAAGAATGCAAAGCAAGTGAAATAAGAGACAAAACCTTATTCTTTCTTTTTTTCTCATTCATTTCTTTGTATGAAACTGATTAGGATAGCCAGATCAAGAAAAACTGCAAATTTGAGCAATAATAATTTTATCAATCAGAACTGAATAATTAAAATAGCATTTTGAGATTAAATTGTTCCTAAAAAGATGTTTGAAAATATTTTTTTAATATGCATTAACAAACCTGCTAAAAAACCCAAGGAAAGGTAGATAAATTGGCCTGATCTGCCCTTACCAAAATACAAAATAGATTAAGTATAAAGAACAAAATGTCCAAGGAGCACCTCAGTGTGCCATCTTTATTTCATTACAGTGACAAACTATAAGTTTTTTTTTAAGCAAACATGAAGCTTATGCTAACTTATAAAAAAGAGGAAACACATGTTACATCATAGGGTCATTTCTTTTAACACTATTTCAAAGAAATATTTTTCATCAAAAGCAACCTATAAACTACTTCTGAAGTCATTTTAAAAAAATCAGCCTAAAAACAGTGATATGCTGCTAATCCAAACAAATATCTGTCTTCTAAAAAAATAAAATAAAATTTAGAAGTCTTATTCAGAAGTTTTTTAGGAGCTTTTATAAACCTCAGCTAAAACAAAACACTTATTACATTCACCTTGAGACTCACATTGAGATTCTTAGAAAGTTTATGAGGTATTGCTAACCTAAAGGGAAATAAATTTCCCTGGGGAGTAACCCACAAAAGCTTTATGGTTCAAGTTAGTAAAATCATTCACATAATTCCCATACGAGGATTTATGGGTTCCTCAAAAGTCGTACGTCTAGGTATAGCAAGAAAGGACAACAGGAAGCTCTTCTCTTCCCGCAACAACCACCGTACCTTTGGAGCAGAAATTAATTCCTGCGCTTCTGCATAGTGAAAATCTGCCTACAAACCACGTCCAGTTTTTCCAGAACTTTGTGGACTTGGATAGAATTTACTTTCTTCACTATGCAGACAATGTCATAAAATTTTTCAGATCATGCACACATTTTATTCAAATGTTTTTTTAATAAGAAATACACTCCTATGTGAAAAGCTAAAGAATCCATAAATAAATTAAAACTTCTTCAGATATTTCTTGACCAAGTTCCTATAGAAATCAAGGTCAGAAAGTTTTAGCACCAGAATTCCATGTACCAAGTTAAACAAAGTTCATTAACAGGACTGGATCTCTAGAGGTTTCAGTTCATAAGGACCAAAGGGTAAGTTGCCTCTTTCTATGCCTCCTTTTTTCAGTAGACATCTGATAAATGCTTGAAAAAATAGCCTTCATTAGAACTAAAAGCCATGGCTGATAACATTTAGAAAGAATAAAGGAGTACAGTTTGAAATGTTAAGGCATTGTATGTTTTAAAAGCAAGCAGAGAGAGAGAAAATGGGACTCTCATTTTTTTTCCCATAATGTCAGAAGCCCTTTTCTATAACAAATTTTCTCTCCAATTCAGGTGGGTTCACAGCAATACTTCTATCACTTCCTACATCTTTTAAGTTTGGATTCTGAGCTGCTAAAGTCCCCAAAAGCTAGTCATTTCTTAGTTCAAACTGCCACCTGGAATTTTATAGTTAAAAATGATCCTACAGCTGCAAAACTATAAATAAATGCCACAGCTGACACAGAATTCAGGAAAATTTGCCACAAAATTCATTTAACTTAAGGGGGAGGGGAAGGAGGGAGATGAAACGAGGTAAAACGAAACATGAGAATTATCCACAGCAGAAATGGTTCAGTTACAGCGTATAGACCATGTTTTGCAAAGTACTGCATGTGCCAATGAGCCCTCATCACATGAGTAGACTCACTGAAATTAATGGGTTTCCACAGTAATACCCTTTATTGTTACTAGTTTACTTTATATTTGATGCAAGTGAAGCATACTTTCTCTAACAACCAAAATTTCTCACTAATATGTGATAAAATTATCATTTCAGAAAGGAGACAAAAACTTGAGAATAATTCAGACCCATAATAATTGCCAGAGAAATAAGTGCTTTCTCCTACTCAAAGCTTATCATCATGATATGAAAGGTTTGAGGTTTTTTTTCTTTGTTTGTTTTATATAGGCTTAGTTATAGTCTGTTTTATTAATCCCCCACAAACATAGGTTTAACACTAAAAAAACCCTTAAAATAAGAATTCACACATTTCAACCATAAGGCCAGCAATAAAATCCACCAGACAGAAAATTTTACACTACAAAGTGAATCATGTAACCCTCTTCATAATTAAACTAACCACAGTAATATGTGAGAATAATATTTGTACTTCTACTCCAAACTAAATAAGCAGCATGTGAAGAAGCAAATAATTCAAAGTTCCAATAGGCATCACAGTGAATGAGTGTGCAGAACACTAGTACAGTATATTCTTGTCTTCAAGAAAAAAAAAAAAAGTCTCTGGTAGGTTAAAAAAAACCCAAAACTTTCACAAATTAAGTTGGGTTTTTTTAATTGGCCTTTAATACTTATTGTTAATAATACTGTTGTGAAACATCATTCTAAGACCAGAGTTTTATAGTAGTTTTATGCAGTTCAATAAAATTTTTCAGTGTGGATAAAGCACATCATGGTGCTCTTCCTCTTATTCCCATTCTCTTTTATCCTTAATCACCATTGTTATAAGATTTCAACACTACCATCAGAGATAATGCAGGAAGCATAAGAACCTTCTGAGTTTTGAAGGGATTTCCCCAATCCGTAAATCTGCTTAAACAGTGTTTATACACATAGGCATACATGCAAAAAAAGTTCAATGGAACAATTTTTAAAAATTATTATGCCTTCACATATAAATATTACTTTGAAAAATTGTATTATGCATTCTGTGATTGCTTAAATACCTGACTCGGATCAATTCTATAGAAAAATAGAAATCAAAAAAATTAAGAGAAGATTATAAATTGAATTAGTAGGCATATAAATATTCCTAAAAACTTATCAGAAGTTATAGATTTTCATGTTTAGTCTATTGAAATAATATCTCAGATGTACCATGGTATAAAGAACTATCTTAGTTATCTGGCAGGCGCTGGTCTCTCCTCTCTGGTGACCAGTGATAGGACCAGGGGAAATGGCAGGAAGATGTGCCAGAGCAAGTTTAGGTTGGACATGAGGAAAAGGTTCTTCTCCCAGAGGGTGGTGGAGGACTGGAAGAGGCTCCCCAGGGAGGTGCTCATGGCACCAAGCCTGACAATATTCAAGAAGCATTTGGACAACCTGTGCCCTTGGACACATAGTCAGAATGTTGGGATTGTCCTGTGCAAGGACAGGAGTTGGACTGGATGATTCTTGTGGGTTCCCTCCAACTCACAACATTCTACAATTCCATGATCTTGGTTTATTTAATTCTAGCATTTAAAATCACCCCTAAGAAAAATTTGCCAGTGTGGAAGGGGAATCCCAGACAGATATGGCAGATTATTTACAAAAATTAATGTTCATTTTCTCTTATTTCCTCTAGTAGCAACCTGTATACACTTTAGAAAGAATCCTATATACAGTGATGAACTAAGTTATTACATTTAAAAAATCAGAATGAAAATATTACTGCAACATTAAAGAACCTTCAAAACAGCTACATTATTGTAGTAGGCACTGTTAATTGTATTCTGATTTACCTTTTTTTGCTCTATTTATTCCTTTTTACTCTATCTACTCTGTAGTAAAAATAGCAAGTCAGTGGTAAAAAAGTAAATTTCAACACAACAAAACCACTGCGTGGAATCTCTAATTTCAACCTTTACCTTCTTTAGGGTTCTGCAGCCATGTACACAATAACACATAGCCAAAGCTACCATACTCCAACCATGCATGAAATCCTACTGCTTAACAAGAAATCTCATCTACATAATTTGAAGAAAAAAAGATGAGGTTTTATTTATTTTGCAAAACACATACCTTTCTTTCTGAAAACAGGAGTGTTCTTCAGTTTAAAAAAAAAAAACAAAAACAAAAACAAAAAATCAGACTTTTTTTAATCAGTACATGATAAAAATTATTTGAAAGTGACTTACTGATATAGTACTCCTGCACAATGCTTGTGTAACCATATATGGCAGAATATCCAAAAATTATAATCATAACCACGTCTCTGCTGTCCAGCTCTACTATGTGTGCTGAATGACCTTCCACAGCATACTGCTGGCCATGTACAAGTACTGCAGGAGTTCTGCTACTCCATGTTTGGCTGTGTATGTTGAAAATCCAAAGCTCATCAGTAACATTGCCATTATTTGTTTCGATTTTGCCTCCGTACATGTAGATGTCTTCCTGTAAAAATTGGGAGAGAAGAGAAAGCAAATAATGGATTAAAGAAAGATAACATCTGAACTGCATACTTCTGTGCTGCATTATATTTCATAACTGAACAATCTGATTGAAATCTTCACATTTAACTAATACTACATTAACCAGCTCAATATCAGACACTAATCCCAGACAATTATATTTAAACTAAACCAACAATGATGATAAGGAGACTATTTCTCTGAAAAATAAACCCAGCCATGAAAATGACACCAAAATTAATCTCAATTGGATTACTTTGAGCAGAAAAACTTTAATTACATGGCTTTTCTAATTCATGCTGAAGCATTCTATTAGAAAAAAAAAACCCAACAAAAAACAAAAACAAAAAAACCCCCAAAAAACACCACTAAGAGGAAAGGTTATTGTATAGTTTTCTTCAGGAACAGTTCACAGAACTAAAATGTGATTTTCCACACACTCAGTCTATCGGGATTTCATTCAGCATGTGCACAAGAGAGCATATACTCTCTTAATAGCAAAGCAACTTAAGTCCTGAGGAAATTCAGTGTCATCAGAGCCCAAAGAAAAGGGACAATGTGTGTACAGCATCCTCTTGCGCACATTTATTAAAATCAAATCCCTTAGGAGAGTACTTTGAGCTCTTTTAAAGGGATGCAAAACAGATTTTCCAGTCTTTATGAACAACATACCTCAAAGAGCAAGGCTGTCTGTTTTGATAAGTAATGAATGATTTACTTAAATATTGACTGAAAGCAAATCCTACTAAATCTCAAATCTCATCTAGAGTAGCAAATGAAGGCATACAAAGTCAGAGAACAAATTCCAGTTTGGTTTCACAGACTGGCTCAAGGACAGTTTATCCTAAGTAGAAAAACTGCCTCTTGTTCTAAGAATGATGCTTAGTCTTTGCTAGGACATTCCAGAAGCACATACATTCTGCATGTTATCTGCATGGTGTTTGTATAGTTGGCAGCTGTCTTCTGCATACTGCAATGTGATATTCTAGGGTTTACCCTAAATTCAATCTTACCTGGTTAAAAAAAAAAAAAAAAAAAAAAAAAAGTGAAGCTGCAGGCTTAGCTCATTGGACAAAATTTTGCATGGTATAGAGTATTGAGTCTTAGAAAAAGAGACTAGAAGATAAAGAAACCACCTAATACAAGAAGTTTGGATCAACCATGCAAAAATTTCAGACTTCTTGTACAAGAAGCTGATGGAATCCTAACAGAAATGTAACCTGCATGCAAATACATCAAGAAAGATGAATTCAAACTGTCAGGCATGTAAAATATAGGTGATCAGTAGAATGACAGTCTATTTAGTGCAGCAAAACAAAGACTTGAGAAGGTTGTAATGCTGTCTATATAACCATAGTTGATGGTAAACAACAGAGTCCAGGACCATATGAAGAACTTTCTCATTACTCGGACAGATTAGTCAGTAAATGACTGACCAAACTGTCTGGCCTGTCTTCAAGAGTACACTTGAAATTTATGCAAGATTTTCAACTATTTTTTTTTCCATTTGAGGCAGGAAAGCATTTCATGATCTGAAATTTAAATCACTCCTATGCAGTGGTACTCTGTGTTACTGATCAATTTGAACTGGTGGTGTTTGAAGAAAGATGATCACATCCTTCAGTAGGAATTTGTAGTAGGATTAAATATATATATCTGAACCCATTATTTTCCTATGAGGTAAAACAATGTTTCAAAAACGTTGGTGAAGACCCACAAAAGGAGGCTGTGCACTGATCCAAAGGAATGGTGTGAAAAAATATTCTTAAAAAAATCCTATTCATTACACTGGCTCCCATTCATTACACTGTCACATAGATCTCAAAAGGCAAACCAGCATTGCTAACATAGTGGACTAATTATTCATTTATTATTTTTAAATGTAGACAGACTACAGAAGAAAGTTAATTAGGGAGTTGCAGGTGCTGTATAACAGTATTTGGAAAAAAAAAAAAAAAAAAAAAAAAGGATTTCTGACACTGAGGAAAGACACTAAACAAAAAAAAGTGACCTAAAGAGTTGCATGAACTTCAAAACGATTACTCAGACAGCTGACAGTAAGAAAGTGCTCCTCGCAGTTCTGCTTAAATGATTCAAAGTTCAGATAAAAGAACACTTCTGTGAGGAGCAATGTTTATAAATGACACAACAGATCCTGTACACAAGACTATTCACAGAAAAAAAGACAAGAAGGTCATGACAACTGCTTTATCAACCACAAAAACAGATTTAACTAAGCTTCGCTCAAGGCTGTTTCTGAGATTAAGAAGCTCCTAGTGCTGCTGAAAAACACTTTAGAAGTTAGTGATGATCAGCTGAACATGGAGAAAGAAAGGCCCATGGGCCAAAGTCAGTGGAAGAAACAGAATGAAAAAATGTTCCGTGCATATTTATACAGGACAAAAACAATGTCCTAGGCAAGTAAAGGTGGACATCTATCTTGAAAGCCCAATCAGGAAGAGATGGTAGGAAGGTTGCAAGTGCACAGTCCTGAGCAGCCTAAAGATCAGGAAAGGAGAGAAGGAATCCTCTTATGAACTTATACTACCTTTATAACTTACTTATAAACTAAGTATAAATCAAGGTATGTGCTAAAGCTGAGGCTTTCTGACAGACACACACAAGATTAATGTCTTGCATAAATGAATAAAGCATATTAGATATTTGTTTATAAGAAGGTAGTATACCACAAAAAGAATGAGATTAAAAAATTAAAAACAACAACAACAAAAAAGTTTAAAACTGAGTCAGAATACTTCAGAAAAATATCAAGAATCCGGCCAAGATGGAAGATGTTATAAATTGTACTCCTCAGCCTGGAGGAGGGACAAGACCAAGAGGCAGACTGTGCAAGGAAAAGATAACAAAACAACAGGGAGATAAGTACCAAGAAGATGCAAGGACTCCAACACACACATTTTAAAGTTCTGATACCACATGTGAAAAGCAACACTTTGAATCAAAATGGCAAATAGTGAGAGTATTTACTCAATAAATACCAATACCATGGTCATTTTAGATATATTACTTCACATTAATAAAATTATCTTAAAAGTTTCATAAGCTTTTAAAAACCTCATGTTTTTTTCAATGAAAATTTCATATAAATATTACCATATGCAAATTTAAGTATATAAAACTACACAGTATATTGAACTTATAATTCATAGTTCCCACTCAGTAGAGAACCCCAGCACAAATGACAAATTTCTTGCTGTAAACTGAGCAGGTAGGCAGCTCGCTCATTCATGACATTCCCACCTACAGATCACATTGGTTTCCTGGCAACTGTTCAGGTACAAGCCCAAACAGCCACTACAGCTCCTGTTAGTTTCAGTGGAAGCAAAACTTTCCAATAGATGTTCCCATTTTCTCAAATCAGCTTTTTTTCCCTAAGAAAATTATTTCAGTAGAAATTTTGATGAACCGTCATGATAAAGAAAAATTACTAAAGCTATATGATTTTTAAATAGTTGACTGTGTATATTGCACAGAGAGGATGACAGCAGAAGGCAGGAATCATAAGACCAAATCCAGGATTTTAACAGAACAGTTAAATCACATTTCTCAAGAGAAGAAAATATTCATTTGATTTAGTATTTCTCTTGCAGAGTAATGACTGACACACACATTTCAACTAGCCAAAACGGAAACAATTAAATAACTCAAATACAGAAGAACTCAAAGTAAACTTTCACAATTTTGAAAGCCTGATGGAAGATTTAAGACAATTTAAGGTAGTAAAATTCCTCTTAATTTCTTCACCTTATTGATATCACCAGCATCTTTGGAGAATGTGGTTTTTAAATAATCAAATAATTCAAATAAAATTAAATGCCTGGTGAGAGATGGTAAAAAAAGAAGGAGCTAGACTCTTTTCAGTGGCTATTCAGTGAACAGACAAGAGGTGAAGGGCACAAACTGGTTTACAAGAAATTCAATTTACACAGAATCACATAGAATGGTTGAGGTTGGAAGTGATCTCTGAAGGTCATCTAGTCCAACCACACTGCTCAAGCAGGGACTCCTAGAGCACATGTACCAGGATTTTGTCCAAACACAAATTTAAGGGTACGAAAAAAACATTTCTTTTTACAGTAAGGATGGTCAGAGACTGGAACAGTTTGCTCAGAGATATTGTGGAATCCAATATCTTTGGAAATATTCAAAACCCAGGTGGACAACATCTGGAGCAACCTGCTGTAGTTGACCCTGCTTTGAGTGGGGAAGCTGGTCAAGATGATCTCTAGAGGTCCTTTCCAACCTCAGCTATTCTTTGTGGTTCCATGAAAACAAATTTTTAATACAGGTACATCTCTGAAGAGCATCTTCCTTATTTTCTATTACAAACAATAACAACAATAATCCATTGGCTGATCATGAACAATATCTAAATTGAAAAGTAAAAATATTTTTCTTAAAAAAAAAAAAAAAACAATGACATCACACACAAAAACAGAAACTTTGAAAAGTCATTTACTTGGTGTGACTGAACAGGTGACACAGGAAAAACTTAGAGTTCTGGTAAAAAAAATGGCAATCAGCTTAGGAGTCTGAACTTTACACTTTGAGCCCAAAATTCTTTTAGAAGTCAGAAAAATAATAAAGTCTTTCTGTGTGCATTTATCCTAAGAGCTACAGCAACAACAAAAGTCAGGATCTACAAGAAAACATTGATTTTTCTAAATTAATAAAGTCTCCAAATAAAAAAAATAAATCCTCCTTTAAGTGAGTAATCATAAATTAATATGATGATTTGTGCATTCAAGGTTTCATAAAAACTGACAAAGTAACTCACAGAATTTCCACAAAATAGGTAAATGAATACTTATTTTTAATTGAGGTAAAAAGATAAAAAATTGTAGAAATGACCAGTGATCCAGTATGCTTTACTTCAGCTGTCTCATGTTCCTGACTTCCAAGGCTGTGTACTTGGTAATTCCTGCAAAATCATGCCTCAACAGTATCACCTTGCTTAGTAGT